TGTGTGATTTGTAGGAGTTGATGAAGTTGTTTCTGTGTGGATGCATAAAGTTTTATGTCGTCCATGTACATGAGATGCGACAGCATAAACTGTGTTGTTTTTTCATGTCTGATATTTTAGCTATAATGCGTGTTGTTTAACATGTTGGATAATGGGTTCAGGGCTAGGCAGAACCAGAGAGGACTCAAGGAATCTCCTTGAAAATTCTTCGCCTAATGAATATCTCATTCGTTTGTATGGAAGTGTTACTAACCCTGAGATGCAGTGTTGTTCTCCAGTGCTGCATAGTGTTTTGGAAGAATGCAATGAGTGACGGATGTATTTTGTACATGTGTAGAATATGTAGCAGCCAACTGTGTGGAACACTGTCGAATGCTTTTCTGTAGTCTATATATGCCATGTGTATGTTTCTGTGTTGTTTGTGTGCTTGCCGTAGAATGACTGAATCTATGAGTAACTGTTCTTTGCATCCCCTGTGATTTCTACGGCAACCTTTTTGTTGTTCTGTAAGAATGTCGTGTTCTTCAACATGTTTGTATATTTTGTTTGTGATACAGGATGTCAATAATTTGTAGAGTGTTGGAAGACATGTAATTGGTCTGTATTGTGTGGGGTCTGTGGTTTTGTTGTTTTTAGGTTTCATGTAGGTAATGCCCCGAGTAAGAAATTTTGGCATGTCTTGTGGATTGATGATGATGTGTGTTAGATGTTTAGCTAGTTCCTGGTGCAGTGATGTAAACTTTTTGTACCAGAAATTGTGAATGTTGTCTACACCAGGTGTCTTCCAGTTGTGTGTTCTGTTAACAGCGTAGCGAATGTCGTGTATGTTTATTTCAGCACAGGGCATACTTGGTATGTTATGCAAGTTTCTGTTCTCCTCCTTGATCCAGCCTGCATCAGCATTGTGTGTAACAGCATTGGACCAAAGAGAAGACCAATAAGTTGTGAGTTCTTCTTCTGTTGGTGTGCCACTGTGCTGTGTATCAGTGTTTGTTTTGGTACTGATTTGTCTGTAGAAAAGTTTTTCATTGTTTGTGAATAATTTATTTTGTTGTTTTCGTAGTGTACATGTTTTGTATCGTTTGAGTCTACGTGCTTTGGCTGCGAGTTTTTGTTTTAGTGTATCGATGTATTCTGTAATGTGTGTGTTGTGATGTTCATGTTTTGTGTGTGTTTTGATTTTCTTGAAAATGTTTTTGAGTTGTTTCTTTAATTTGGGTGTTATGTTGTTTTTAGTGTATTGTGTCAGCCTGCCTAATTGCTGTCTAATGTCATTTATTTGTGTTTCTATTCTTCTCTGCCAGGCAGGCTTGTGATAGAATTGTGTTTTGTGTGTGTCTGTCTGTGAGTGTATTTTCAGTCCATGGTGTGTTACTACTGTGACTGCCCCAGCATAAACTAATGTATGAATGTCTGAGAGTGTAGAAATTGAATGAATGTAGTTTGGTAGTAAGTGAGTGTTTACATAATCTAGTGTTTTTCCTACTGCCTTTGACGTGTTGATTTTTGGTATTCGTGGTCTTTGTGTGGGATCTGTACCAGTATATTTAATGAGTGTTTCCTGAAATATAAGTGAGAGCGTATTAACTAATTCTATGTCTACGTTATCAGTGATGGATGGGGAAGTGCCTGCAGTATCATTAGTGGTACTTGTTGTGTGTGTGCTGTAATCAGTGCTTGTTGCTGGATTATCCTGACAGGTTACGTGATCTTCATTAATGTTAAATGTTTCTGTCTGTTGATGTATTTGATCAGCAACCTGTTGTTTGATAAGTTCAAGTGTTGTTTGTGGGATAAGGTTGTTGTGTATAATTGTTCGTTTTTGATCAACAACCCTTTGTTCGGTGACAGTGAGGTGAGGATATTGTTGTGTGAATCTATGGTGTAGTTGTTGTCTGTATGCTGTCATGTTTGTTTCGAGTCTTGTGATGGTGTAGTAAGTACGGATGATAAACTTCTTCATTTCTGATGTCCATTTCATCCGTTGGCGTGGTTTTCCAGCCTTATACTGATTAACTGGTCACACTATCAGTGATAAAAATGTCAACATGTGATTCGAACTTTATAGTAAAATTTATACATTATGAATATTTAAATAAGAATATACAATACATAGACAAATTCATAAATATGATTGGCCAATACAGTAATACCCCAAACTTATGCGATAGGTGGGACTGAGCGATAACCACTTAAGTCGAATTTGCGTAAGTCGGGGTATAATTTCGCAATTTGTGTAAAATCCAAGTTGGATATATGTAAGCTAATAAATGTTCTCATTAATCTTATCTTGTCTTTTGATTCGTTCATGGTTACAAGAAATCATCACATAGTCTCTCAAGTCTCCGTAGATATAACAAACACAGAAATAAATAACACAAAATAAATTGTAGTGATGTGTCGATTTCATGCAGCATGTCCAAACATGTAAGCTGAACAATAGTGTGGGGGAGTGTATAATCAAGAGTTGCGTGGCACTCAAACAAAAGACGAATTGATGAGATTTGAAAATCGCGTAACTCTGGGTTCGCGTAAGTCAAGGTATTACTGTAACTCAGTAAGTTGTCAAATAACAGATGTATCGGGTTACATTTTTAAATTTTCGAAATTATCAAAATATCATTAAAATTTTGAATTCTATGCTGTGCAATCACAGGTCTAAAAAATTGGTATTTGTAACAATATCAATTCTCTACTTTGTGATAACATTACCCATCCCCTTGAAAATGCAAAAGTAAGCAAACAAAATTAGATAAGAAATTTGTAAATCTTAAATTTCAAGTTAGCAAAAGGGGATCCCAAAACTACTTTAACTTATTGAAATGTATATAACACATTATTTTTAATAATAAGAAATTTATTTTTAAAATCTAATAAAAAATAATTGATAATACAAGACAAAAAAAAACTTTTTATGCTCCATTTATTTTTGTTGCTATTGTATTCAACAAATAAAACAAAATATCAGTACAACATTCTTAAAATCATTGAAAATAATATTAATAGTTAAAATATCATATTTCACAAAGTGCAACTGTAAAATGTGTTATATCTCATCAATTGAATAAATTTGAATCTCTTAAAACAGATTTTAATTTTTCATCATTGTATTGGAAATCTTTGGGAGAAATTGCTAAAAGAGTACAGACATTGTTGAATTACATAAAACTGATGCTTTATCCACTAATATGGGAATCATTCATTCCCACATCAGTGGATAAAGCATCAGTTTACATGATCATAAATTAATAAATAACTGTACTACTAGGTGTCCCTCTTAAAATCAACTTGACTGAAATGATGAAACTATGTTGATGAAATGATGAAATTATGTTGAAAAATGACTAACTAATGATGAAATTAGTGTTGTAAATTTTATAGAAAATTTTTATGTAAAATATGTAAATTTTACATGGGATAGTTGAAAGGTAAAGTGTATAAGACCAATCCCAGAACAATAGGAGAACATGGGAAAGCATTTGCCAAATTAAAGCTATCAACATTTTATGTAAGGTCTGAACATAATTATACATACACAAGTGCTTAGATGCACAACATCATGATTTCTGTATGTTTAAATAAGGTTAAATTAAAGTTTCTAACAAGTATCATTTGTCCAAATTCATTTGTATTATTTCCAGTGAGAGGGACCAATTTTACATGTGACACTCCCATATTTCATTGCTACTTTTTATTTCAATCATTTTATGTTTTATTTAAAATTACTTATTCTATTAAATTTTAATTTAAAATTGCTGAGATTTGATAAAATAAGTAATATTGTTATGAAAAAGATTGAATTTTTAATTAAATACATTAAATATTGAATTTGAATTAAAAATTTTATTAATAATGTAATCTATTATAATAATAAAAATAATTTACATACTTTGTAGAAATTTTGCTCAAGAACATCAACTTCTTCTGCTTTTAACAATGCTCCAGCTAAAAGGATTGAAAGTAAATTACTTCTTCTTGAGGGTATATCCAATTCACTTTTCTATAAAATATTTAACAATTCATTCTTAAAGATAATGTTTCATATTTTCATTTCATAAGAAAAATATATAACTAATTTGATATAGCTCAAATTGAAAAAAAAATTATTTGTAGAATTTATTTGAATTGATTAGAATTTATACATAAACAGTAATAATTCTTTTGACATTAATAATGAAATCCCAAATATATAAATTAAATATAGTCTTTGCAAAGATTACATTCTCTTTCTATGACAGCTAAACAAATTAAAAGATGCTGCCAGAAAATGTCCTCTTTGTTTTTTGATTATATCATGCATGCCATTATACTGAATTTTTTGGTTAAAAGTAATGTCATAACTTACAATTATGTCTAAACATGTGTGATCATAAAACAGACATTAAATAAATTCCATAACATTTAAATGTTCTAGAATGTAAGAATCTTATTTTATAATTTTCTATTTCTGAACCTTAAGACTTTCTAGTTTTTATCCACTACAATTCTCCTTTACTAATTAAACCAAATCTACCAAGCTTAAATCTTTTCAAGTGTTTCCTCTCTTTTATTTTTTTTCTGTATGCACTATCATGTACTGTTTTGTTCTCTTGTCCTTAGATACACACTATTCTCTTTGACCATCATGTATCTACTCTCACCCTTCAATAACTTTATCCCCATTACAAATACAATATTCAAATTATACACCACTGTATAAAATCATTTATAAAAGAAAACAATTCAGCCTTAATTGACAAAAATTACAAACCAAGAAGGTAATTAAATTGAATTAACTTTATTAATGCAAACATAATAATTATGGTAATAAGTGATTAAAATACATAGCAAAGAAAAATTTTCCTATGCAACAACAATACAATTTAAAGCAACCTTTAGTACCTTGCAGGACTTCATCTTGTCTGAATACATACAGTAATATGATTGGGCATGGAGGCATACATACAGTATCCTTTGATAGATTTGTTTACAATGTTGTAGCTGCCACTCCAAATCCTCACACTCATAGATGGCCAAAGCTTGCATCCCATCTGGTCCTACAAATGTTTCATGGGCAACAAATCTGGAGAACAGGCAAGCCAAAGAAGTGTGAAAATAAGATGTGATTTTCCAGGAATGTCTCTATGTGCTGCCAAACATTATTTTTCTGTAAAATAACTGTTTGAAGCCCTACCATAAAAAGCAGCATATAAGGGAGTAGGATTTCCTGAACACACTGCTGTACTGTCAATAAACCTTATTCTACTTTAGGGATGGCCAACTGTCATATGAGATGACTTCCCAGACCAGAAAACAAACATTGCAAGCAGTGTGCTCTTAACAGTAAAGACAGAATGAAAACACTCACCAGTGTTCCTTCATACACTAACATAGTGGTCATCTGTTCCCAAACAGAACCTAAATTTGTTACTAAAGTTGATACACTGCCAAGTCCATAGCAGTCTATGCTTCTCTGTTATGACATTAAAGCAAATAAAGTTGACAATGTTAGGATACTAATAACAGATTGCAAAGCTGTCACTGTGCATGCAAATTTCTGTCTGCTAGTTGATTCCAATGATACAGGAAGAGAAAGGGTTCTATTGCAAGGCTTCTACCTGTCTCTAGGATAATACCATTACATTTGTTTGTGTTTGTAAATATAAAAATAAAAAATATGAAAATAATGTATATTGCATCTTAAAATATAAAAATAAAAAAATATGAAAATGTTACTGATACTTCTGATCCAGATCAACAAAAAAGTTAAAATGACAATGATACTCTGTAAAAAGAAAATGCCCTCTTTAACTAAAATTAATATCAATGCATAATACAGTACTTTTAATTGTGATCGTTAATTAATTATTGATTGGAAATAAATTATCAATTGCTTTAATAAATATATTTCTCTTAGTAACAAAAAAAAATAGTATGCTTTTGCTAACTTCTGGAATGTAACACTATGTTTTGCATTAGTCCTTTGTTTCATATAGCATGGATTCGCATAACACAACACTTTTTTGAAATGTAACTGTGTTATATATAAAATATTAAAAACTTAGATAATATTTTATATTATATAAAGTATTATCTAAGTTTTTAATATTTTTCAAATATTTTGATTATATGTAGTTTCAATAGTTTATACTATATAAATTTCTAAAGATTTTCTAAAAATATTAAATATTTAGAAATTATTACTTTTGTTTTTCATTTATTTTCTATCATGTAATCTGAGATAAACCAGAACATTAAATAAATTAAAGATAAATTTTTAATTATCATAATTTTCTGCCTATAAGCCATGGACTTTGTTAAAAAAAATCTTCAAATTCCATGATGTGGATTATAGATTGCTGCTTATAATCTGTATCAATTTTTCCATAACAAAAAAATGACTAAAATCATTTTACTTTTTTTAATTTTAATTAGTTTTCTTGATATGATAAAACATGACTAAATATCTTGCTGTTATTTATGTGTTGGATAGATACAAAAGATAAAGTCGCACATGGACCCACTCATTCCTGTTCATGAATAAAATGTAGTATTATTTTAATGTCTGTCAGCTTCAAATAAAAGTATTCAAGCCATTTTTGGATATATGATGATGGATGGCATCAGTATCTTTAAGCTAAAACTTGGAATTAATTAATTAAAAATTTTCCATTAATTTAATCTGAATTAATCCAGCATTTAGATTTATCTTATCTAAAATTTTGCTAGCTTCTATGATATATATTAGAACTATAATCTGTTTTAGGCTTCTTTTTTTTTTTTTATTTTAAGTAAACCTGTATATGTTTTCATTCCAATACTTTTTATTTTTTTTAATATAATTTGATGATATTGTATAATTTTAAGTATATGTTTTCAATTCTCATAAGTTTTGGCTTAGTTAAGTATTATTTACCTTAAGTTTTAACAAAATGTCTTTGATGGATTCATGGTCAACTGGATGTAAAGTTTCACTCATCATAGTTTCCATTTCATCGAGCCAAAATGTAAGTTCTTCCATTTCTTCTCTAACTTCTGCTAATCTGATGCTATCTTTTTCCAATCTATAAGTTGTAAAAGTGTAAAAGTTACTTGAGCATTCATACTGAAATTAAATTTAATATAAATAAAAAATTTTTAATAAGTGAAGATTCAATTTAACTTCAGAAACAATCAATGATTGTAAAAAAAGTGTGAAGTCCCAAAAACGNATTTTTTTTGCGAAAAATTCGCTGAACTTTGGAGACATCATTAATATAAATATAATTTTTATGAACGTTAAATAATAAATGGTTTTTAGTAGGTCCACTGCTCGTTTAAACTCAACGGTTTGTACAATATCCGCTATTGGTCTAGATTCAACCAATCCTGTCGCGACATGAGTTGGCGATGACGTTTTATCGAATTATACAAGTTTTTGTAGCGTGTTTGTACGAATACTGTCGCAATTTTTTCACCGTCATATAGGAATCCGAACTATATGAACCCATGTTATAGGGGGAGGTCAACTGTATTTGGCAACATTAGCATGATGCAAATCAGTTATCTATCGTCGTGAGTCTGGCAAATTTATAGGACAAATATNCTATCTTTTTCCAATCTATAAGTTGTAAAAGTGTAAAAGTTACTTGAGCATTCATACTGAAATTAAATTTAATATAAATAAAAAATTTTTAATAAGTGAAGATTCAATTTAACTTCAGAAACAATCAATGATTGTAAAAAAAGTGTGAAGTCCCAAAAACGGGCCGAAATTAAACATTTATTATTAGAAATTTATTAAAACAAAACTAGAAAAAAAATTGTCCATTGTTAAAAACCAATCAAAGATTGCATTAGTCATGCTAGTCATATGAAACCGCAATGAAAAAAAACGCTATTGATGTAAACAGAAAGCAATAATTATAAATGATTAATAAATGTAAACAATCATCCCCCAGTAGAGATGAACCTTTGACAAGTCACTCGTATACAAATAATTAGAAGATAGAAATTTTGGAAAGGGGGAAAGGTTAATGATGAAAAGGGACATCGCATCGAATCGTTATACAGTTAGAACCTCGATTATCCGGACCTCTATTATCCGGATTTTCGATTATCCAGATTGTTCAAAATAAACAAAAATTTTTATGAATTTGCTGATTTGCACTTGGCAAATTATGATACTGTTTATGTACGTGATGGAATGAATAACAATAACGTACAACTACACACTGGAGTTTACTAAATATTACGTACCTCCGAAACCTTTAACCGATGTGAATAAATTTAACTTTGGAATGAATAACTTTTTTTGTTTCAACGTCTCACCCAGCACAGTGGTCGTAAACTCTTAAATATATTTTACGTCATAATAAAAATATAACTTGACATACATATTTATAAATAATTTATATTCAAATTACATCATTTCTATGACCAAGGGCGGCGTATGGGCAACGTGGGCCACCACCTATGCCTCACAGTCTGAAGGACCTCAAGCCTCAAAGGTTTATGCATTACTTAAAAGCCGCAAACGCGACGAAAAAGTTTTAGTCGTCATAAAACGATAAACAGTTTGTCAAATTTTTATTCATAAAAATGCAGTTTCAACTGCTTTTTATTTTATAAAATCTGTCTTCTTGCGCCACCAGAGGGCCTTTTAAATAATAGGTAGTCTGTTAGCGATGGTCAGTAGTAGTCCAAATTCAATAAAAACGTTTGTTTCTTGAAAATTTAATCACGATTTAAATACAGTATTTACTTTTAATATTACCGATATGTCATTGAAAAGAAAATGTGTTGTATTATCATTAAAAGACAAATTAAAGTATTTGTTTCGATTATCCAAATTTTTCATTATCCAGACTACCTTCATTCCGAATTAGTCCGGATAATCGAGGCTCTACTGTATTTCAAAAACGCCACAGACTAGACAACAATGGGGAGAAAATATGAACGCAGGTTCCAAAGTTCCATCAGCACTTTCCATCCAGAGTTAACAGCTGGTGTCAAGTAGATTCTTCGAAGCGGATCTTTCTCGTGACTCAACAGGAGTCGTTTTTCACTTAGGGACAGTTGAGAGACCAATCAGGGAGCAAGAAAAAGGAATGCGGAGCCAATCAGAATAAACAAATCGGAGAACAGAGATTGACATAATTCCCAATCTTCAAGGACAGAGTTACTTTCCATAAACTGTGCACCTGCACACAATTAGTCAACACACAAAAGCAGTTTTCCATTCATTGTGCCAAACTTGTAACCTGTGACTATGGACTCACTGCCAACACTGACTGATGAATCTCCACACCTACTGCTGCCCCAGGGTCTATCTTCGAGCAACATTAGAAAACACCCTTGACAATTCGAACATCCAATTGTTTAAAGAACATTTTTGTTTCATAGTGTAAGTTATTTTATGTTTAAAATAAGCGGGTTTTTGTGAGATTCTTGTCATCTGTGTCTCCTCTGCCCACGCGCGAACAATCCTAGATCATCCTGACGTGGGATTAATGATTCCCCCCTGGAAGTCGGCAACTTTACAAAACAATAAAAACAAAAAATAATTTAAAATTTAAAAATATATAAAAATGAATGCTAAATTTTTATGTAAATTTAAACAAATATGTATACAGGGTGTTTCAGACCATCTATACCACAGGTTTTTCTAGAAAACTTCATTGTAGAAAGTTGAGAAACATTTTTTACAATCAAAGCCCATGGCAATATTGTTATCAATTGGAATTGAGTAAAAATAGAACCAAACTGAACCTGACTCTGAATTTGGATATTGGAAAAATGGTCAAATTGAGTTTTTTTTAGATGGCATTTTTCATAAGAAACAACTTTTACTAAAAAAATTTATTAAAGAACACTTCACACCCCTTATACTTACTCAGCACATTTAATAATAAAATTTTATGAATACACAAACATTTTCAGCCACTTTAAGGGGATTTCATTAGGTGAGAGAGTCATTTTTTTACATTGAACAAGATACAAAATACTTAAAAACGGGACATTCCATATGTTCAATAATTCATTTTTACAAATTATTTGATATGTGATCAGATGCTGTTCCTAAAATATTTTAAATGTTAACTGACTCAAACACAAAAATAGATATACAGAACAAAGTATTATAAAATAAAAAATAAATAATAAATTAAAAACGAAAAATATTAACAATATTAAAATAAGAATCCAATTATCATCACAGGTTACAAAGTCTTTGTTATGTGACATGATGAGATTTCCAAAAATTTTTAAATTATAACTGATTACAATAAAATGATATATAAATAGATTAAATCAATATTTATATTACTGTTAATTTCATTTGACAATTTATTTTTCACATTTCACATATCTAAAAGAATTTTAAATTGGTTTCTATTAGTTTGACCATTTCAATGGATATCAAAAGTACATTAAACAACCAATAGTGATGTGCTTAACTACTATTGATTTTTATAAACTTACAACTAAATTAATAAGACTAACATATACTTTTAGCAATCATACTAAAAAATTACTCAATCTTAATGTATATATTGATAGAAAATGTTAATAGTATTAACAACAATATACAACTTTAATAAACTATAACAGTTAGTAATGGTATGTAATTCTTTTTTATTCACTTAAAAAATTTAGGCTTATTTATAAAAACTACTTAATAAAATATCCTATTTTTAATTTTATAATTAGTTGAATAATATATAATGACCTTGTTCTTCTTACTGCTAATTCACCAACAAGAGATTTCCATCGTCTGTTCAAAGAGTCTAACTGCTCTTGTAAAAGAATTGCATCTGGAGGAGAACACTGTTGGCCAATTTTTTTGCCACTACTGATGACGTTTTCTAGTGCTATCATTTTTTCAGTAACTTGTTTCTGAAGTGTCTAATTAAAAATAAAAAAGAAAAATTGAATATACATAAAATATTCATTACGGAATGATAAGTTAATTTAAATACTTCTTGATGTTTGCGAGCCTTTTCATAATCCAGATCTCCATTTGGTAATCTGCTGTGAGCAAGAATGGTTTCTGCTTCAATTATCCATGCTGTAAGACTACGAAGTCTTGTTTCAAATTCTTGCCAAATTTCTCTTGCTTTTAACCATCGACTAACAATAATAATGCATAATTTAATTTTCAACTTTTAGTATTTGATATTGTTATAAAATTGTAAAATTAGGAAGATATTTTTAACTATCAGAACTGTAAAAGAATTATTATTATAATAATAACTCTTATACACAATATGAACAATATTAAAAATAATAATTTTTAATATTGTTCTTAGATGCAATTTGATACAATTTTCATGACATAACTGTGTCATAAATTTTTTAAGAAAATAAATGTCTTTATATGTTTTTTGTAATATTTGTTAACATTAAGTATTTGTTGTGATTAAATTAGATTTAAATGAACTTTTGAAACAATCACACACAGATGCTTTTATGTGCTATGTCCAGACCAATGTTTAATAAATGTTTGATAAATGGAAGTAGAGCAAAACACTTTTGGTCACTTTAGGTTACAGAATTTTTTTATATCCTTAGATTTACACTTGATATACCAGAGCTGTGAGTAGCACTATTTAACTTCTTAAAATCATAAGTCACATACTTTGCAATAAAACATCACAACATCAACGGCACTCCAGTGTATTTGTTTTTGTTTAATTATTGTTTAATTTGATATTAATTATTTATTTCTATGTTCTGATATTTTTATTAGTGATAGTCTTTGGATATCATACGTACTTTTTTAAGATCATAAGTTTTGTAATTTTATATCTGTAATTTATGTTCCACATTTGTGCACGAGAAACAATTTGAAAGTGTTCTATCTCTAGATTTCTAGCATTCTGTACTTCATTTTGCCTGAAGAGACAGTAATATACTGTCAAAACTACTTGTGAATTAAACATATTTTTCTGTAACACAGTGGACAGTTGTGTGACTTATCTTTTATTATGAAGTCATATAATCCATTTTCATATTAGCTTACACTTTTCTATGCCCTAGTCTAGCTAAATCTGTTTTTATTCTTCCAGGCATGAAAATTCCAGGAAAGAATTAACTATGATTAAGGCCATAAAAGCATTTTAAAAAAATGTATCCATAATACTGATAGATAATCTATTGATAGTTAGAAAACTATCAACAGAGTAAAACCTTCATAGATCAAATTAAACTCCAAACTTACAGCTAAACAAGAGAAAACTAATATGAAATTAAACTGGGCAAAGTGATTAAGGTTTATAAAAGTTATGGAACTAGAAAATCTGAAATTAAAGTATTAATATAAATTATATGAAATAAGAAAGTATTTATTACATGACAACATAAGAATGATAATGACTAGAGAATCAACTATATATAATCTGATTAAAAACAAAAAGAATTCTATCCTACTAACAAAAAAAGCAGGAGTTTATGAAATAGCTTTATTGTACAAATCTTAAAAGTTAGAGAGAAAATATAAAATGGTACTTATTGAACTGAAAGTCAACTGATCTACTTAGAAAAAGAAAAACTTCCTTTTCCAAACAAACACTAAGTAAAGATGTTGAAGTTAAATGAGCAGATGTCAAAATAGTCACACTTGTTACAAGAATCAAACCACTGAAGAGTATCATTGCATAAATAGAAATCATTAACCAAAGATGAGAAGGATTTTGATTTTCATTAAAATTATCAATTAAAAATGCTAAAATAAACTTTTAAATGTAATTGTTGTTAATTTCTATGAAAATTTATGACACAGTTATGTCATGAAAATTGTATCAAATTGCATCTAAGTAGTAGGACAAACAGAAAATATTATAAAACCAATAACATCACTTAACAATATTAGTGACTGTACAATTGTTAATATAATTCTTTTTGCGAATATATGATGTTTATAATACTTAATCTCTTTAAAATTGATAATGAAAAAGAATTTTTGAAAACAATGTTCATTATGTAGAACATTTAATTGAATATTGAAAGTTATATAAATGCATATTGGGCTTTAAGCTTCTCAAATTAGTACAGTTAGATTTACTGATAAAATCAAAAATGTTCCAAGATGTTAAGTTTTTACATTACTATAAATATTTTTACAGAAGTTTTGAGAATATTTATCTTTATTGTTGGTCCTAAAGCTAGGTTCTGAAAGACTCAAAATATCTTAACAAACAATAAATAAAAGAAACTCCTTGAAAAAGACCATAATATTTTAACTTTTTTAAATATAAATAATTAAGAATAGAACTAGAAATAAAGATATGATGGAATTTAAGTTTTGGATAGCACTTCAATCAATCTCAATCTAGTTTGTGGCTTTAACAATCATGTTAATCATTAATTATTTTTGATTCAAACCACTAATCAACAAAAAGAATGACATTATATATATATATATAATGTCATTCTTTCTGTTGATTCTGTTTAATTGGGCCACTGGTTAATCGGGGCAGCTACTTTATTGGGCTAAATCTCAAAGAACGAAAACCAAATTATTAAATTAATACATAATCTAATCGCTTAATTGGGACAGTAGCAGAAAAGGAATTTAGCAATTTTTGAAATTTTAAAGATTTTCTGTAAATATGTAGACACTATTAATGTCGTGTAGGCTAAACAGTTAACAGAGACAAAGCAATTTTGTTTTTTGCTTGGGCAGTTGTTTTTCTGGAGTGGGTCTGAATAGTGGGATGTATCACACATGTTCTAACTAAAAAGGGAGAAAGGAAAAATTGTTCAATCAGGAATGAATTGAAATTTTACCTTTTGTGAACATCACTACTAATACTGTACAGTCGACCCTCTATAACATGGTAGATACGTTCCGTTCTTTATGAAATTGATGTTCTAAGAGTCCTTAAATACATGAGCCAATCACAGCGTGGCACGTATGCAGTTTACAGACTACGGCAGTTTCAAAGGTTTTCTTTCATAAAATTAATCGATTCTACACTAATTCAACTCAACATTTCCAAAATACATATAATTTTTTGGGAATAATCCATATAAACTATGCTATAAACAAAAAATTGTAGGATTCCTTACCGAGTGTGCACCGTTCAACGACGCCATTGCTTAAGCTTGTTTTCGTCGTGGAGCTTGTCATCGAATGGCGCTCGCGTGCTTCCTGATAAATTCTTATTTTTTTTTTTTTTGCGAAAAATTTGCTGAACTTTGGAGACATCATTAATATAAATATAATTTTTATGAACGTTAAATAATAAATGGTTTTCAGTAGGTCCACTGCTCGTTTAAACTCAACGGTTTGTACAATATCCGCTATTGGTCTAGATTCAACCAATCCTGTCGCGACATGAGTTGGCGATGACGTTTTATCGAATTATACAAGTTTTTGTAGCGTGTTTGTACGAATACTGTCGCAATTTTTTCACCGTCATATAGGAATCCGAACTATATGAACCCATGTTATAGGGGGAGGTCAACTGTATTTGGCAACATTAGCATGATGCAAATCAGTTATCTATCGTCGTGAGTCTGGCAAATTTATAGGACAAATATTTTCTGTAGTTTGATCTAATAAAGCATTAAAATAGGCACCTAATTATTATTTTTTATCTACTTATTTATTTACCTATGTGTTACATATTTTATTTTATAATTTATTATTAGTTTGTTTAATTCGGGCAGGCACTTAATTGGGCCAAAATGGATTAGTCCCAACATGTCCCAATTAAGTGGAATTGACTGTATACATATATACATTTGTGAGAATCTAGAGTTTAGGGGAGATACTTTTCGTCTTAATGAATTTGCTAAAATAATATTTTTAAAATTAATTTAAATTAAATTTTTTAGAGAAATTATCAGTTTTTGACTTCCTCTGACTCAGGGAGAATGACAATTTAGTTCCTCCTAAAGTGATAGTTCGAGTGCAATATCTCACTTGACTATCTACAAGACCGCCTGTCTTCCTCCTCCTCATGTTGGGAACTGTGACATGATTTTCCAATGATGCTATTGGATGGAAAATAGTATAAAAGGTGGAAGGTCATCTTCCAACTTGCTCTTGTTTTGATACTCTTATGCAGTTATCAAAACTTTAGCCACCACTTTCGTCTGACATTTGCACCAGACATCAAATATTTAGCCACCATTCCTGTTTTGATGCCTTTACCAAGTGCCCAAGACTTTAGCTGTTACTCTCCCAGTACAACTTCTATGTGTTCCCAAGGATTCTCCACTATACGTAATATATGATGAATTTATGTAAACACTCTCTCAGAATAGACTTAGAAATATAGATTTAGATATCCTCACAAATTTGATGGTGAAGCTTGATCATTTGTGTTTATCATAATTGTCATTTATTTGTATTTATTATAGTTATAAGTTTGTATAATAAATATATAGTTATCTCTAAACCATCTTTTAGATTGATTTATGCCCAACTCCATTGGCCCATGGCCCATGGTCCATGTATTTTACATAACTCATGAAGTTGAAATTGTTCCTCCTAAAATTCCAGTTAAGTTTATTTATATCTTCTACTATTCAGAATATAAAATAATAGAATCACAAGTTGATATGCATAATTATCTTAACTGGTGTCAGGACTGATTAGGAAAGATTTTTATGAATCTTCCCTCCCAACTATTTACCATCCTGAAATATAGCAATGTCTATAAATAAATTACTTTTCTTATAAAAAATATTAATTGAAAAATGAAACAGAATATTTGTAAAATTTCCAATTATATTAATAATGTGGAAAAGGAGTTAACTAGGAATCCCTATTTTCACATATATAATAATTTGGCAAGAAATATTTTAGTTATAGATGTAAATGAGCTCATATAGTTAATTTTTATAATTATAGTTTAGTATCTATATATGTTAACATAGAAGAAATACATTGATATTTATAAAGAAAAACACACACATTTATTAAAGAAGTGAAAAACGTTTTTATCATTAAGTAATTATTAACTACTTTATCAAGTTACCTGTATCTTTCACTATATGAATGTTTTATTTTCATCCATTCTTCATTTAGTTTATCTAATACCCGATTAATTTGAAGAATATCTGCTTCATCAGCTTTTTCCAAGATTTTTTCTTTTTCATTTCTTAAACTATCAATATTAGGTTTCAAAGTTTCTAAAGCATCTTTAACACCCTTCAAAATAAAATAATATTTTAATACAAATTATCTTCTTTTAAATATCTAAAACCTTAAAAGTGAAAATGTTTTCAGTCTCAAATTATTTAGTTCCTCCTAAAGTGATAGTTCGAGTGCAATATCTCACTTGACTATCTACAAGACCGCCTGTCTTCCTCCTCCTCATGTTGGGAACTGTGACATGATTTTCCAATGATGCTATTGGATGGAAAATAGTATAAAAGGTGGAAGGTCATCTTCCAACTTGCTCTTGTTTTGATACTCTTATGCAGTTATCAAAACTTTAGCCACCATTTTCGTCTGACATTTGCACCAGACATCAAATATTTAGCCACCATTCCTGTTTTGATGCCTTTACCAAGTGCCCAAGACTTTAGCTGTTACTCTCCCAGTACAACTTCTATGTGTTCCCAAGGATTCTCCACTATACGTAATATATGATGAATTTATGTAAACACTCTCTCAGGATAGACTTAGAAATATAGATTTAGATATCCTCACAAATTTGATGGTGAAGCTTGATCATTTGTGTTTATCATAATTGTCATTTATTTGTATTTATTATAGTTATAAGTTTGTATAATAAATATATAGTTATCTCTAAACCATCTTTTAGATTGATTTATGCCCAACTCCATTGGCCCATGGCCCATGGCCCATGGTCCATGTATTTTACATAACTCATGAAGTTGAAATTGTTCCTCCTAAAATTCCAGTTAAGTTTATTTATATCTTCTACTATTCAGAATATAAAATAATAGAATCACAAGTTGATATGCATAATTATCTTAACTGGTGTCAGGACTGATTAGGAAAGATTTTTATGAATCTTCCCTCCCAACTATTTACCATCCTGAAATATAGCAATGTCTATAAATAAATTACTTTTCTTACAAAAAATATTAATAAAAAAAAATATTTGTAAAATTTCTAATTATATTAATAATTACCTTTAATGCATCCTCTTGCTTTCCAAAATCTTCAAATTCTTTTCCAGATAATTCAGGTTGATTCAGCTGGCGATTAACAGATGCTATAGCTTCTCTCAATTTGTTAACTTTGGCAATAAAATCAGGTACAACTGCTACAACAGGTAGTTCCAAAGTAACAACAGATGCAGTTTCAGTTTGAGTAATCACTGTTTTAGTCATTGGAGATTTAGATAAATTTAAAATTGATTGAATCTGTGTCCAAATTTGAATAGGTGACTGTACAATAGTTTGTAAAGATACAGCTGAAATACCAATATCTTGAGCTTGTTGAGCTGTTTTTTGCAAGGTTGATAAATCTTTATTAAATTTTTCCAAGTCATTTTTAATTATCTGGAAAAAGTTTAAAATAACTTTTAAAAAATTAAGCAAATAATAATAATAACAACACAAATAAAATAACATCTGTTTGAACGAGTTTTTATTTGCAATTTAAAATTAACAGTGACCCATGTGTTATTCACAGAAAGTTATAGTAAATTTATTTTATATGATCAATAGTGTTTTGAAAATCAATTGCCAAAGACAATTACTTTCATGAGTTATATGCTTATTTTAAAAATTTTTAAGCATATTTTGTGCTTTTTGTATGAATCTTTGATATAATTGGTGTTCCATTCATTAACAAATATGCTCAAGGTAGCCTTGCCAATCAAAGTGAGATCACTTTGATTGTCAAGGCTACCTTGATCAATGTGACAATTGTTTTTAAATGGTCAATACCTCCATTTAAATGTTCCTAAATTAATAATAAACTTTGCACTATACACTACATTAATAATAATTTCAGATAACATGGTGTAATAACATCAACAGCATTTCCTGTTGGCAAGAGTCAACAGTGTTCATGTGTTGAAAATATGTGGTGTAAACTTTTAATTAGGTAAGTGAGCCTATTGGTTTACTTAGAAATGTTGTAAAAATTAAATAGAAATAAATAAGTGCCAATTGTTTATGGAAAGTTCAAATTTTTGCATGTTAAAAGTAGCCCTGTCACTTTTCATGATAAATGTAGCCCCAAATAGGGCAATATTATTATCGTTGATTATCATGTGTTGACTGTGCTGATCTATTCTGTATGCCAACCATTTAATTAAATTTATTAATCAATAGTTTTTACCAACAGGCTATTTCTTCAAAGTCCTGGTGTAAATGACATCATCAGTCATGGTCCAGAAGAATAAACAAAACATACCCTCCTGACTATATTTGACAGCATACAAATTGCATAATTTGGATTTGGATATAAAAATGTGGTAGCTAGCCTCTGGATCAGATACCCATTTTGCATCACATATCAGATGCAAATAGAAACACAGGGATAATTAGAACATTTCACAAGCAGTTGTTTCTATACTGGAGGCATTCAGAAATAGATGGCATGGAGAGGATAGCAACAGTAAAAGGCAGAAACTGATAAAGTGACCTGATGAGTAAGGTAACAGCACCAATACTACTGAAGCAAGTACAAGGTGGTTATAATTAAAGTTGCGCTACTCAGACCTGTCTAGAGCCCATTCTCATGGACATATATGCTGTAAGGCATTTTGAACACGTGACTGATGCAAATGGATTGCATATTGAACAAATGTTGTGAATAAAAACCTTTTGCATGTTTCCATTTTGTGTTTCTTGTTCTTCATGTGCCATTTTTCACCTAGTGGTAAAAATTCAAACTAAATATTTTTTTTTGCATTTTCCTTTTCCCCATGGTTCATATAACATATATACCAAGTTTATAAGTTTCATCAAAATACATCCATGAGAACGGGCTCTAGACAGGTCTGAGTAGCGCAACTTTAATTATAACCACCCTGTAAAAGACAACAAATTTCAAACCAGTAGAATGTGATGCTGAAGATGATGATGCTGATACCATTAGTACCATGAGTAAAAAACAAGAGCCCACCAACAATACGAGGGCAAGATGAAAAGTTCTCAGCCTAGCCTATAAATGGCACTGCTACAAATGAAATTACTATTTTGTTATGGTGGCGCACTTGTTGCAAAAGTAAATACCAAATGTGAATTTGATCAGACAAATAGTTTGTTTTATATGGCTGTTTAAAGTAAGAGTTTTATGTGTTTTTGACAAAACGAATAAACTTGAATACCATTCCATCATAAAATTCTTCATTTTGGATGGTTTATCACAACAGAAATTCGTCCAAAGTTGGTAAAAATGTATAAGGAGTCTGCACTTTTGTTATCAACAGTTAAAAATGAGCAGCTGAGTTTAAACATGGTCGTACATTGATTGAAGATGATCCACATGAAGGACAGCCAAAAAACTGCAACTACCAAAGAAAAATTGAGAAGATACATAATATGGTTCTAGATGATCAACGATTAAATGTGTATGAGATAGCTAAGGCTGTAGACATCTCAGACGAAAGGGTACGGCACATTTTACACGAAGAACTCAGTATGAGAAAGCTTTATGCAAGATGGATGTTGATCACAAACAACAAATGCAAATTTGTCAACTTGCATTTGTTGATCAACAAATTGACTTTCTCAGCAATGTTTGTGCTGTTGGATGGATGAAACATGGTTCACCACTTTACACCTAAGCCAAAACAACAGTACAAGCAGTGGGTAGAACCCAATGGCTCTGCACCAAAGAAAGCAAAGACAATTGCATCAGCTAAAAAGGTTATGGCTAGTTTTTTTGGGATTCCAAAGGGATTCTTTTAATTGACTACCTGTCAAAGGGTCAAACAATTAATGGGGAATACTATGCACATCTTCTTGACCAGCTAGATGAAAAAATTAGAGAGAAAAGGCCTAGTTTGCAAAAGTAAAAAAATCCTCTTTCACCAGGACAATTCACCTGCTCACAAAGGCGCATTGGCAATGGAAAATTGAGGGATTTGAAGTATGAATTATTGGAACATCCTCCCTATTTGCCAGATTTGGCTCCCTCTGACTTTCATCTATTCCCAAATCTTAAGAATGTTTTGGCTGGAAAACATTTTGGGTCAAGTGAAGTGGTAAATAAATATTTTGAATACCTTCTAGAACTGCACTTCAGAAATGGAATCCAGTTAATGGAGAAACTTTGGACAAAGTGTATTGAACTAAAGGGAGACTACATTGAGAAATAAATACATTTTTAACATAAAAAACTCATTTTTTCACTACTAGGCTGAGAACCTTGCCCTTGTATCTTTGTCAAAGATCCAGAAGCCAGTGAAGAAGCAATATCAGTATCAGTATCAGATGTTTGGAAAGAAACAAATCAAGCTGGTATTGACAACAATCATTTCTCTTCAGAAAGAAGACTGTCCATCATTTTGTTAGTAATGTGACATCTGTGAATCCCAACAAAACATGTATAGTTTTTGTCATTTGCAAACAAATTCTTCAAACAGTAGACAAGTTTTTCTTCCAGAGGACTCTGTTACTTCCAGAGGATCCTTGTCCATTACAAGAAGACTGCGATTTTGTTTTCTTGTTTTTTATTAATGGAAGAATTGCTTGCCATGATCTTCTTCTTTGGAATTCCAGAAGCAAAATAATGTGTATGGTTTATATTATATGGAAATTACTTTTTCATTCAGAAAATTAATATGGATTATTGCAATAAAATATACTTCATTTGACAAAAATATCACTGTATTTCATGCAGAAGGTAAATGGTGTAATTAAGTAAAGCCTCTGGAAGAGGTCAGAGACAGTGAAATTTTTTAAAAAGCAAGGTTTCATGGTTTAATCAAGTAAGCTTCTACAAATGTATTTCATTGATCTGAAAGCAAAAACAACTTGATAATCAAACCAAACCCTTGTCTAAGGCTACTTTGATCATCCTATCTTTTTTAAAAACAATCCCACTTTTGGTTTCTAGTGTTTTACTGCCAGCACATAAACTTATAGTACATGTCATGACTGTCCAAATGATATCAAAAATATCAATCAACATAGCATCAAAACAGTTACTGAAATTTGAAAATGACAAAACTAGACCCACTATGGTACAGAGTTGAAATGCAATAAAAAAATTGCTTTGAGAAAGTGCAGAAGTGATTAACATACTTTCATCCCTGATATGACCAATGTTTTGAGTACAAATGGATNTTAAAATTTAAAAATATATAAAAATGAATGCTAAATTTTTATGTAAATTTAAACAAATATGTATACAGGGTGTTTCAGACCATCTATACCACAGGTTTTTCTAGAAAACTTCATTGTAGAAAGTTGAGAAACATTTTTTACAATCAAAGCCCATGGCAATATTGTTATCAATTGGAATTGAGTAAAAATAGAACCAAACTGAACCTGACTCTGAATTTGGATATTGGAAAAATGGTCAAATTGAGTTTTTTTTAGATGGCATTTTTCATAAGAAACAACTTTTACTAAAAAAATTTATTAAAGAACACTTCACACCCCTTATACTTACTCAGCACATTTAATAATAAAATTTTATGAATACACAAACATTTTCAGCCACTTTAAGGGGATTTCATTAGGTGAGAGAGTCATTTTTTTACATTGAACAAGATACAAAATACTTAAAAACGGGACATTCCATATGTTCAATAATTCATTTTTACAAATTATTTGATATGTGATCAGATGCTGTTCCTAAAATATTTTAAATGTTAACTGACTCAAACACAAAAATAGATATACAGAACAAAGTATTATAAAATAAAAAATAAATAATAAATTAAAAACGAAAAATATTAACAATATTAAAATAAGAATCCAATTATCATCACAGGTTACAAAGTCTTTGTTATGTGACATGATGAGATTTCCAAAAATTTTTAAATTATAACTGATTACAATAAAATGATATATAAATAGATTAAATCAATATTTATATTACTGTTAATTTCATTTGACAATTTATTTTTCACATTTCACATATCTAAAAGAATTTTAAATTGGTTTCTATTAGTTTGACCATTTCAATGGATATCAAAAGTACATTAAACAACCAATAGTGATGTGCTTAACTACTATTGATTTTTATAAACTTACAACTAAATTAATAAGACTAACATATACTTTTAGCAATCATACTAAAAAATTACTCAATCTTAATGTATATATTGATAGAAAATGTTAATAGTATTAACAACAATATACAACTTTAATAAACTATAACAGTTAGTAATGGTATGTAATTCTTTTTTATTCACTTAAAAAATTTAGGCTTATTTATAAAAACTACTTAATAAAATATCCTATTTTTAATTTTATAATTAGTTGAATAATATATAATGACCTTGTTCTTCTTACTGCTAATTCACCAACAAGAGATTTCCATCGTCTGTTCAAAGAGTCTAACTGCTCTTGTAAAAGAATTGCATCTGGAGGAG